GCTTTATTGTATATTATCTCTATTGCTTGGCAACGCAGAGCTTGGGGCTTTATAAAAAAAACCTCCAGTAGTAACGACTAATAGAGTTTGCACAAGCTTAACTCTTCCTCTCCTATGAAATGTAATACAATATGGAGCCTGCATCTTACAGATTTCAACCATGGGGAGGAATTAAGGCGATTAAAAAAATTATCCAATAAGACTAATCGACGATTATTTCAGGATATTTTCAAATAGGATAGAGGGGAAATATTAGGTACAAAATATAGGGCCAAACGAATTCACCAAAATCCTAATATTTTTATCCCTTCAAAAGTCGGAAAAGATAGGTGAATAACCAATAGTGGGAATTGGTGACAATATTAAGGGAGAAATTAACTGTTTCCATTTTAAGGGAATATTCGGACCTTCTTTCAAGATTGGGATCATGTGTATTCATGCAATAAAGTCTGTGGTCCATACATAAGAGGTTATTTGAACATAAAGGCAAACACCAAATAGATTAATCTAATGCCAAACGTTTAGGCGGATATAGGAAATATGCCAGTAAACAAAATATTATAACTAAATAGAATGCAGCACAACTACCAACTCCATAAATGGGATAAATGAAAGGATTTAAACCTAAACTACTTGTGGCTGTTGGATAAGAGCAGAGATAAATGGAAAAAAATAACGACAAACAAGAAACTTAATAAGCCTTTAATCTGCTTTTCACTCACACACCTCATGCACACAACACAACAAAATCACAAACGCCAACATTGCAGAACCAAAAATTAAAATAATTTGGGGAAGGATAAGGCCTTTCGACCACAATTGCATCCACTTCACGGATCATCTGCACCCACTACACATCTCATCCAGAAACACTTCATTATATAATAAGATTATAGGAAAGACATAACATTTACAACCAATTTCTGAGGTGTACAAAGTTATGCTAAATGAAGGAGGTATAATTGCAGTCGGACGCATTTATTGTCCTCGTTTATAGTAAATCATCGCATAACATGGCGCCATACCCTCAAGATGTCTGTCATATGATGGACGAAAGTTCAACAAATAGTCATGGAAATCAGGACAGTGAGTAGAGAATAATTCGCACAAGTCTACACCTAGGCTTGTTTTTTTATAAATAAATAAATGTTATAAGGGAATTTTAGAAATAAATACAAAAGAAGTTGTTTGACCCTGTTTTCGCAACTTGGTCATATAGGAATGGAGACTGCAAGAAAGGCCTCAATTTTGGTCGCATTTTTTCGATGAATAGAAGTGACCTGACCTCGTTTTCGCGACTTGGTTGTATTGTCAGGGGAACCGAGTTAAGCGCATCTTGTCCAAGCCTTCTGCGACAGTAGTTATAATAATTCCTATCGTTGGACCATGGACTAGGTACATCCCCAGACGTTTCGCCGGCATCGTATTCGGTATCGCCAATGAGTCTTGCTATTGTTACCATTAAGCTACAACGCCCCAGAGATAAGTAAAGTCCAAAGCCATAACCCTAACCAACTTTTTGTTCAACGATTTTATAATCACTGATCCTGATAAATCCACATACAACTCCACTATCACAATTTGCGACTTGTTAAAATTCGAATCACTGGCACACCTACTCAATTATCTTGCTTCTCATCCTTCCGATTTGCCGGAATTGCTGAACCGACTCGGACCTTCTATCCAAATCCCAGTGTGTGTACCTCTTGGAGTAAAACGTACATTGGTACGGGAATCGAGCAAAAATAATTAAAAAAGATAAGAAACAGATCTACGGGCCCATGAGAGAGACTCAGAGATGTCAGTCGAGTCGGTAAATCAAGAGAAGTCGAATGAGTAAGACAAGAGAGTAGGTAGATGTGCCAGGACTAGAAGAGGAGTAATAGCATAACTGTTCTGAAGAAGGTCAGTCAAGTAATTGATTTTCTTTTTCTTTTTAGCAAGTTGTAGCTTGGTGCTGAGAATGGCAAAGCTTACTGATGATGACGGCAAAACATCTCGAATGTAGCAAGTCCACGGTCCAAACCTGGGAATTACGATAACTAATATATCAAAGAAACTCAGACAAAGTACATCCAGCTAGATGTCCCTAATATTAGGACGAAGTTGCGAAAACGAGTTTCCAAAAGCTATCCTCCTTAATGATGGACAGAAATTTTGACCTAGCTTGAGTCATACTAAGAGTAATAAGAAAATTGTAAATGTCGGTCAAGCGCCATGGCTCTACGTTCAGGCCTTCCATTATCTAAAACGATCTAAAGTGACAATATTTATTTCAAAAGATCTAATTATAGTTGTCAAGGCTTGCCAAAGCTAGAAAATGAAATAGTAAAAAAGCTAATTGCTCTTGTTAACACCATTTCAAATATAAATGTGAGTTAAAAAGGCCTGTCTCTTCACCGCCTTAGCACCCAGTGGCATTTGAACTATCATTGAGTGGCAGCTCGTTGTCAATTGTAACTCACAAATAAGGTTATAATATCTTTGGGTATGCTAAAGAGAAGCATCCCGTGTCTAAATTGCAGTCCAGCCTATATTTTAAAAGTTTTTGCAAAGTGAAGCAAATTGAAATTCAATTACACAGTAAGGACTTCTACTTATTACATATTTCATTGCGCTTTTCCAGATGATGGAGTATCCTGTGGATTTAAAGTTATGGCTTTAAACTATTTGTTTCAACCGTGTTGATGAGTATTCTAATAAATAACTAAGGATCTCCTAAAATGTACAGATAAGGGTTATACCTTTCTGAATCAGAATCGATAAACTGGTCATTGAGTAGGATGTCGGCTTCTACTGCCTGCCTCTTAAACCATTTAATTTCGGCCTTGCTTTTAGTAGCGCGATGCAGCAACTGATCTGCCTCTCTTGCCAACCCAAGCAGACCATCACTTAGTTCATTCTGAAGAACAAGAGTCTGACGCAAGCCAGGAGGTGCCTTTGAATTTAGACGAAGATATGGTAATTCAGGAAGATCACCCCTATCATATCCTAAAAAGAAAAAAAAATATAAAAAATGGTCAACCAACATCTATAGTAAAGTAGGACTTTTTTAAATAATTTCTGCATTTGTTTTATATATATTATAGCAAGTTATCGTTTAAAATTAATTTTATTAAATATAAGGACAAAATTAAATCAAACCAATAAGTCCATTAATCGTTACGAAACCTAGTAGGTGTAAATCTAAATGATAGTCTTATAGTTTAAGATAAAAGACGATAATTTGGATTGCTTTTAGAATAAATGATATATTTAAGGGCTTATGAGGTGATTTCTGATAGCATGCAGTGTTTTACATATTAGATTCCTTCAGAGGATTAGCTGAATTATTTTTAGAAAATTTATACTTTGTCTTGACAATGTCAAGGAAATTTAATCACTCAATGTCGCTTAGAGTGAAGAAGATTGTGAATTTTTCCAGCAAATTTAACTTGGTCTCGCCTCTAGAAGAGTATCTTCATCCAAAGTAAACTGGAGTTACGACCTCGCCTGGGTATTATAAGCACACTCGCCTGGAACCGAACCCGAACGATATCGTCTTTTAAAAAATAAAACTAAAAAACCTTGCATTACTACTAAAAGAAAAAATGATTAAACCATATTGTGCAGAATTTTTGTCTCTTAATTAATCAAGATGACCCTAAAATTTAGGATTAAGCCAATAGTGCTCAAATATTTAATTAAAATAAATAAAGTTACCCTGAGAAAGCTGGCGATGCATGATAAGTTCGCGTACAATCTGACGCCAGGAAAAGGCCTCTGCAGGACAAATCATTACGAGACTGGTGCCAATTCGACCAGCACGAGCGGTCCTTCCGCGTCGATGTAAGTAGGCTTCGAAAGTATGCGGCACTTCAAAGTGCACCACTAACGCAACACCTGGAGTAGATTGGGCAGTAGTAGCATTCCTCTTACTAACAGGATTTATTTGAGTTGAGAATGATGAGGCTTCGGATGCTAGATCAAGGCCGCGAGCTGCTACATCTGTTGCTAAGAGAATGCCGTGTGGATCATCTAGAAATAAAAATTAAAAAGATAGTCACAAGCTTACATAGAAATATTTTTACAGAGAACATGTCACTGAAACAAAAAATCT